ATGCCTGTAGTCCCAGCTAGTCGAGAGGCTGAGGTGGGTGATGGCTTGACTGCTTGAAGACAGGCACAAACACACAGTGAGACTCTGTCTACACACACACACACACACACACACATTAGCACATATACACATATTAGCTGGGGGCGTGGTGCTGCATGCCTATAGTCACACCTGTCTACACACACACACACACACACACACACACACACACACACACAAATTAGCTGGGGGCATGGTGCTGCATGCCTATAGTCTCAACTTGTTGAGACTCAGAGGTGGAGGATGGCTTGAGCCCAGGAGTTCAAGGTTGCAGTGAACCATGATCATGCCATGATCACTCTAGCCTGGGTGACAGGATGAAACCCTATCTCCAAATATAAACAATAAAAGTGTGAAATTGTTGTTCAGAATCTTCCTTAAATCAATGTTTTTTCTTACAGCTCCTGTGTTCCTTTGTCTTGATAAGTAGACTCCATAGATAAGTAAATAAAATACGAAAGGTTTTTGAAGCTTTTGGATTACATGCACTAAAACACTTTCTGCCTTTTATTTTGCTATTTTGAACATATTTTTATTTAAAAAGTCACTGTCATGCAGCTATCAGTTGAAATACTTTAACTTATTTTTTTAAATGATTCAAAACTTTTTATCTTCTTAGGTATTCTACCCTTAGATTTAAAACTCATTTTTCCCTAGTATATGTTCTCTTAAATATACAAAGGAATATATTTTCATAGAGTATGTTGAAAATTAGGAAAATCAAGGGTTCTGGTTCTGTCAGGTGCAGTATTTAGAGTGTTATTTTGATAAAACCCAGTTGCTCTGATAAGGCTTGAAAATACTTGCTCCTTTGGAGTATAATTGCAGGGGAAAAACTGTGGGATAGGTAGAAATTCACCATAATGACTTGAATTGGTTTTGTACATAATCATCTGAGGTTTTGATAGTGAGGTGGCTGTCTGAAGTGTCTTTGGATCCAACATACATGAAAACACAGGATTGCCAGGGTTCACACAAGGAGTCAGTTGTTCAGATTTCATTTCTGTGTCTGGATTTGAAGGTGAAGTACTTTTCTTATCCTAAAAGATAAGCACACAAAATCATTCTCAATTATAAAGTTCTGAAAAAAATCAAACTAAACCTAGTCTCACCCACTTCCCTTTTTCAGGAATTCTGTTCTCTTGAGGGCATTGAAGACCACCCATAAAATCATATACACCTGTACAGAGCAAAGTCACACATTTGCATAAAGTCTCTTTTAAAATATTCTGTACTAGAACTATGAGTATTTAAAAATCTGTAAATCATAGGGAAAACGTGTAAAAGTCATAGTTGGAAGAGGAAGTACAGCTTGATTTTAGAGTGAGAAAGGAACAAGATAAACACCCAGGGTTATCCTGGGTATGCGAGCAGCCATTAAGAAACTAATTATGCAGCTAACAGAATAATTAAAATTGTGATAATTGCTATGAAGAAAAAAATAAAACATATTAATGGAGACAGAATGGGAGTTCTACTCTAGTGTTGGGGTTAGGGAAAGCCATTCCACTGAGATACCATTCAATCTGGCACCGACTATAACGCAAGGAAGTAAAAGATAGAGGTGGGGACAAAGTATGGCAAAAGTCAAATAAGTTAGGGTGAAAATGTCATGAGATCAGAATAGACAGCCAGGGGTCAGCTCTCTCAGGGTCTTGTTGACTGTGTTTAAAATTTGAGTATTGTAAAAGCAGTGGAAAGCTATTGAAGGGTTTTAAGCAGAGACGTGACATGATGTAATATAATTCTAGTAAAATTACTTTGGTGTTGTTAGGGTCTTTGTGAATGTGGTGAGGAACTTAGTAGTCCATGTGAGTAATGATGACAGTATATAGTAGGTGGTAACATGGAGATGGAGCAAATTTGTTTGTTTTTGTTTTGTCTTGTTTGTTTTTTGACAGAGTCTCGCTCTGTCATCCAGGCTGGAGTGCAATGGCAAGATCTTGGATCACTGCAACCTCTGCCTCCCAGGTTCAAGCAATTCTCCTGCCTCAGCATCCCAAACTGCTGGGATTACAGGCGTGAACCACGGCGACCAGCCAATGGAGTAAATTTGAACATATTTTGGAAGTAGAATTCACAAGATCTGATGATTGATTGGAGGTGGATGGTGATAAAAAGGGACAGATCTAGGATAACTTCCAGTTTCCTGGACAAACACTTGGGTAGATAGTGGTGCCATTTACTACAATGCAATATGTAAATCAAATACATATATGTAATTTTTTTATATAGATGAAACATAATTTTGGCACTGAAAAGCACTTAGCATTGATGATGGCCTGATACATTAATATAACAATGTTTAGGCCTGGACTGGTGGTTCACACCTGTAATCCTAGTACTTTGGGAGGCTGAGGCAGGCGGATCATGAGGTCAAGAGATGGAGACCACCCTGGCCAACACGGTGAGATCCCGTCTCTACTAAAAATACAAAAATTAGATGGGTGTGGTGGCACATGCCTATAGTCCCATCTACTCGGGAGGCTGAGGCAGGAGAATCACTTGAACCTGGGAGGCAGAGGTTGTAGTGAGCTGAGATCTGAGATCCAGACACTGCACTCCAGCTTGGCCACAGAGTAAGACTCTGTCTCAAAAAAAAAAAAAAAATTAATATAACAATGTTTAAAAAAATTAACAGACTTTATGAAAAACTCTAAAAATGTCATGACTGAATCCTGAAATTTTGATGTTGAATTCTATCATAAGAAACTTTATTGTAGAAAATTTTAATTCACAGCATTACTTACAAAAGAACTGAAATGTGTACTGATTTAGATGAATGTTAATTTTAATTATAATGATAATGCCAAAATACTAATAAAAGTACTCAAAAATAGTTTCTTAAATAGTTTTTTCCTCAAACTTACATTGATGTAAGATAAATATTCATCCAGCCCTGGTATAATTATCTCAGAATAATTATAAACTGGGGATTCTCTTTTTCTTTTTTTTTTTTTTTTTGAGACAGGGTTTCACTCTTGTTTCCCAGGCTGGAGTGCAGGGGTGCGATCTCGGCTCACTGCAACCTGCGCCTCCCATGTTCAAGTGATTCTCTTGCCTCAGCATCCTGAGTAGCTAGGATTACAGGCATGTGCCACGACGCCCGGCTAATTTGTATTTTTAGCAGAGATGGGGTTTCACCATGTTGGCCAGGATAATCTCGATCTCCTGACCTCATGATGTGCCCACCTTGGCCTCCCAAAGTGCTGGGATTACAGGGGTGAGCCACCATGCCCAGCCCCACTGCAGTTTTCTTATTTGGGTTTCACCTTCTTCAAACCTGATATTCGTAAAATTGTAGTTCAAACTGACTACAGTTAAGAATGAAACAAACAGCCAGTACAAAGAATAATAAAAGGATGATTTTAAATTCTGTCACATATGTGAACAACTCGTTTATTTAAATGATAAAAAAGGTTAAAAATGATTTTTCAGAAGAAATTAAATCTTAAAATTGGCCTGTGACAGTGCCTTGAAAGGTATAAAAATCTACTAGTAGCTGGTACTAGCTTTCTTAGTAATTTAATTTTCAGTTAAAGTTAGAGAAGGCCAGACCACTATGACTTTTAGAAGTCCTTCGGTATAGACACATATACGCTTATAAAGATAAATGAAAACAAGCCACTGATAATGACCATTGTAGAAGCTGTAATTATAAAATTAAGATTTTTTTTGATGTCACTGTTGATGTTAAGTATAGTTAACACAGAAGCAAAAATAAAAAAGGTCTAATTTTGAGGCACTCTTGTCTCTGCTCAGGCCCACCATCTTCCTTGTTAATGTTTATCATTTATTTTTTTCATTTATTTATTTACTTTTATCACAATTAGGTGACAGAAAATGAAACCTAAGCTTTCATTGCTTCTGAAAACAGTGAATATAAATGTATCATATCTTTTTTTTTTCTTGGAGACGGAGTTTCTCTGTTGTTGCCCAGCCTGGAGTTCAATGGTGTGATCTTGGCTTACCGTAACCTCAGCCTCCCAGGTTCAAGCAATTCTCCTGCCTCAGCCTCCCAAGTAGCTGGGATTACAGGGGCATGCCACCACTCTCGGCTAATTGTTGGTATTTAGTAGTTTCACCATGTAGGTCAGGTTGGTCTCCAACTCCTGACCTCAGGTGATCCGCCTGCCTTGGCCTCCCAAAGTGCTGGTATTACAGGTGTGAGCCCTCAAGCCCGGCCACCATCTCCCTTTTCAAAAAACCCCCTTCTTTGACAGAGTACAATTTAAATAAGTGTACAATTAACAAAGTACGTTTTTCTTGTTCAAAACCATCACTGGACAGTTTGCAGTAGGGTATGAGTGCGTGACAATCCCGATGGTCTTTACACCTTCAGAGGCTATTTGGACTTAATGAAACATGCATTTACAGGTGTAAATGTAAAAGCTCAGTAGTTGCCTTTTAAGGTGTTTTTCGGGGATGCGGGGTTTGGAGGTGGTAGGAGTAAGTGGTGCCTCAAATTATATCAACGAATACCAACATTCCCAAACATCTAGCCCTCTGCCTAAACTTACCCAGTCGTGGTCTGTCATTTTCACTATCTTCTTTGTTAATGTTTTCGGCAAAAAACAGTTTTCATGCAGCAGATGGCAAAAAAAGCCGGTGAACGCCCAGGGACGTGGCCTTTTAACTGCACCCAATGAAAGCAGCAAATAGAAGATGAATAGGTGGGTGGATCAGGATGTGTAAACCTATCCGTTTAATCTGGGGAGCTGTTTTCCCTGGTGAAACCACGAATCCTTTCTGGAGGTTGCAACTCGTATCCATAGCAACAGGCCGCGGTCACCGGCTCCCGGATGTTGTGGGGATCTGCGGCCGCCTGGCTCAGCTTCCTGCAGCCGCCCAGCGGCGGCCTGCGCTCCTTTTCGGGAGTCGTAGTTCTTCTCATCATCGCTGCCCGGCAGGAGGCGGGAGCGGAACTACGCGTCCCGGCATGCACTGCGGCGCCCAGTCGGCCACTGCCTGCCGGCTGCGGACGCCTGCGAGCAGGTTGTTGTTTTTATAAGAGGCGTCATTGGCGCCCGAGCTGCGACCGCTGTTGGTGGGGCAGCCTGCGCAGTCCGGCGGAGGTGGCGCTGCCCCTTCAGGTACGGTACTGGGCGGGCTTCGACCCCTGAGAGGGGGTTTGCGCCGACTGTGGGCGTCCCTGGCTGACACCCTCAGTCCAGTCGAGGAGCAGTGGCGGGGTCCGCCTCCTAAGCGGGGGCTGCTCGGGCGTTACTTGACGCTTGGCGACCGCGGCCGCGCGGGCAACGTCTTCGGGCCGCGCGGGCAACCTCTTCGGGCCGCGCGCGAGTCCACAGACCCGGAGGCCCGAGCTGGCCCTTAGGGCGTCTGGTCCGGTGGTCTTGCAGCCTCCAAATCCTGTGTGCAGTACCTTGTTGCGCGCCAGGGTTGGGAGAGCTGACGGCCTGGAGCACCCGCCTTCCTTCACTGGGCAGCTTGAGAGTGCTCGTCGGTCTGGACTGTTGAAAATCCATATGGTAAGACGTTATGTGCGTCACCCTGCCGGGTTTAATGCCAGCCTGTCTTTTGGTGACGTTTGAGCTCCCGTGATGTCAGGAATAGAAAGATTAAATATTAAATTATGCCCGGAGACGTCTGTTCGCACGCCAGCTTGACGATGATGAAATACCCCTCCATACCCTTCTCTCGCTCCACTTTAAGCTTTGGTCTTCCTGATCGATTTGTCCTCAGTAGCAGCTGTCCCATGCGGTGCTTTGTATGCGTTACTTGTTTATGTTTAGCGCTGTTGGGAGCACCAAGTAAAGTGTTTTGTTGAGTGGTGAAATTTACACTGTTTTGTTCTGCTTTTATTGAAAAACACAGTGGGGCTTTCTTGTAGCTAGAATAGCTGACTATAGTACTACGAATTTTACATTTGTCTCCTCCAATCTGCAGGATAGTGCTTGAAATATCACTATAAACACATCGTATCTTTGGCTTAAGATGATAATCATATTAGGCGCTACATGTCTCGGGATGTTTATCACACACATCCAGCGTGGATGGTTTACTATTCTTTTCTGAGCTCAGGTAGTATAGAGGAAGAGATGGAGATGTTGGGGGTATTGTTTTAATTCATAATTTTTTTTTTTTTTTTTTGGAGTTTCACTCTTGTTACCCAGGCTCCTGAGTAGCTGGGACTACA